TTTTACCTTGGTCGTCAAATCCATGCGTTATTTCGTGCCCAATAACAGCGCCGATACCCCCGTAATTCACAGCTTTAGGAAATGAACCGCTAAAGAACGGAGGTTGAAGTATCCCAGCAGGAAAGGCTAAATATACTCTTGGCTTTTGGGCATTCAATAGATGAAAGAGGTGCTTACTAATGGCATTCTTTTCAGGAGAGTAGAATGCGTTGACAACAGCAGGTGACACGTCAAACTCGTGTCTGTCAAACGGTTTCAGCAATTTGCGAAATTCTTTCTTCTGTATCCACACCTCAGCCTTTTTCATAAGTGAATAGTAAGTGTCCTCCGGAAGTATAATAAGCTGTAATGCGAATTCGGTTAATTTATGGCTTTTGAGACTTGGAGACTACCTCGTTATACTTTTCGTCCAGCTTTTTAATGTCACTTGTAATCTCCGGATATCCAATATTGTTGATCATAGAGTTAGCCTGAATTATACTTTTTTAGGTTATATAACTCTATAGAGAAAGATCTAATGATGGTGATTACAAGAAATGCAAGAGATACATGCTCAATTTATGGTCAAGAAGAGTAACCAAATATTGGCGTGTATCTATTGCGTGGGGCAAAACAGAGTCAGATTAGATACCTGGGCAACATATACTCCAAACACTAATGCGTACTGTACAGCCACCCTGAATGCGCTATTTACCGCCATTTAATGACCTTCTGTTTTGGAAGAGACGTAAAGCATTTGTATAGCAAGAAAAAGCGAGCTCAAAAGATGGACGACGTTGAGCTTTGAAAAAAGGGAAGGGAGTGGGGAGAGTGAAGTGAGAGTGATGAGGGAATGTTAATATTTTTGAACCTTTTTTCTTTGTTCACTCTATCCCACCCTCTTTTCCTCTTCTCCGTCGCCAGTGTGTTTTGGCAGACTTCTAGTGTGACATCATCGTACAATATGTGATTGAACTTAGGGGAATCTTTAATGAGAGGTGACAGGGAAAAGTGGGAGTGGACTTGCAAGAATGTTACTATCGCAAATTATTCCCGGTTATTTATGGTAAATGTAAAGAGCGCTAAGTTTACACTGTTAAGCGTCAAACAAAAATGTGAATTAAACTTGAATTCACTATTCCTCGTTGATTCAACATTCAGGAGAAACTGTGCTTGAGAAGATAACGGATTCATGCAGTACCAAGCGTGTGACTGCTAATACTTGAGATATCGATTGTCACTTTCTTGCATTAAAGCTAAGGCTTAAGTTGGAAGGTTTTACACGAATAAAAAGAACCTTTTCGACGGCAATGCTTTTTGTAGCTTCATCCATCCAGTCACTTTGCACTACCAAATCGCTAAACGACTCACGTAACTTCTCTATCATTTCCTGTAAACAAACACAAATTGACACAGCCTTTTAAAGCATTTTCATTGACATTTCAAACCATACAAGGGCTTCTCTTTTGTCGTCAGAATTGAAATGAGCTTGAACATATATAGCTCCAGCAGCGAGTGGCAGTACCTTAACACAAATGCATAAGTATGTCGAGTATACAAGTATACGAAGGTTGACCTACCGAACTGGGAACCTGAGCGCAGTCCTTCCATCTGGGAGATCTTTGCTGCTGCCCGGTCATAACTCGCGCAAAATCCTGCAAAAAACGTGTTCTTTTCCTTCAACGAAAGGTGAACATTAACTAACATTTCGATGCTTATATAAAAACTGTTCTAATCTGGAAAAAAAAGGTCGAGAAAGGGTTTTGCCATTCCACAACTGAGTTTTTCAAGGAAATTATCCTTAGACAGAAGAATTTCAATCCCTATTGAGTTGTCGGATAAACTTGTGTCGTTTTTTGGAGTCAAAAATAGCTTGAGAGACCGAATGTCTTGACAACATAATATATATTATTCAAGAGAAGTTCCTCTGTAGATTTGTTTGCCTGGTTTGTTCAAAGATCATGGGTTCCGAAACTAGAGATGATTGAAAATATGTTTCCATCGAACTAAAAAAACGGCCAACCGACAGTTTTTCTCCTGGATTGTGATTAACCCAGAGTGCACAGTAGCGTTACTTAGTGAGGTAATTTGCTATGCTGAT